ATAGTCTCTACAACTTTCCAAGGCGTATCTATGAGTGGTATCCTCAAGTTTTTGAGAGCTATTCAGCAGTGGTACCTAGAATTATTCAACGACTACGTGGGGCGCGTACCGTTAACTTTTTAGGAGCTATCTAATAATTGTACCTACACCTTTATATGATTTACCCTAGAGTTGGAACTGGTCGAAAATTTTCAGTCGGGTAAAAAACCGGCCGAATCGAACTGATCTGAAGATTCTCGATCGATTTTAACTCTAGGGTAAATCTAATAAAGGTATAGGTACGATTTCTAGATAGCTCCTAAAAGGTTAAAGATACGAGCTCCAGGTAGTCATTAAATAGTTCTAAGTACCACTGCTGAATAGCTTTCAAAAAGTTGAGGATACAACTCATAGATAGACTTTAGACAATTATGGCGATCATCCTAAGATAATCTTGAAAAGTTGTAGATGCTATGTTGAAATAGACTTCAAAAAGCCCTGAGTAGCATTTTTGACCTAATGTCAATCGATTCCTGAAAGAACGCTGTTTGATTAGTTCAGTTCTTTGAAAAGGAGCTGCTTGAACAACTCAACTCCTATTCACGAACGTTTCCAACAGCTCCTTTCATCACCTTTATTTTATTCTTCTACTAAGATTCTGAGAATATGTATTCATTTTCTTGTATCAGTTATTGCTGCATACACAACATTTCCCTTGTATAATGATGAAGTCCTAGAAAATATTCGTACAAAGTTTTTTTTTTATTGTAGTGTTCTGGCTGACCTATTATCTACAGCACATGAACAATGTATCAAGAATCCTATCGATCAGACTGAATCACCATCGAAACATCTTCAAAGTGTTCTTGCGAATGATATTATCACTACGGTAGAACAAAATGAGGGAATCAAAGATTTATTGACTAATTCACCGATGCAAATACAAAAAATAGGAGAAGCTAAATTTAATAAAAATGTATACAGTTTAATTAGTACTTCTATTGTTTATCCTGATAGTTGGTGTCCTCCTCCATCATTTACTCGTTCACCTTATCATATTCTTTCAAATAAACAGAGTGAACATGAAATAAAAGATTGGTATATATCAGCATTTGGTAAATTCTTATCACCACCGACGAAACAACGATTATGGCAACTAGAACCAGCAGAATGGTCTGCATTTTTAATACCTTATGCAGCAAATAACTATGTTGATTTAATGGGAAAATTTTTATCTATATTTGCTCTAATTGATGATCAATTAGTTGAAGTTGAAGCTTCAGAACAAAAACGAATAACATTAGAACATTTGTTTATGTTTGCTGAAACATGGAAATTAGCATTTCAACGGCAAAATGGTCAGCAGATGAATAGCAAAAATTTAGCAAGAAGAATTCATGAACTTGCATTAAAAACGAATATTTCTCTATTAGAACCATGTTTTCAAGTATGGTCTTCTATTGCCGATAATTATGTAAGATTTGGTGCAGATGAAACATGGTGTAATAGAATGTGTAATGCAATCAAAGAATGGATTGAATTAGGAATTAGAGAAGTAATAGGAAAGAAACGTATAAAACAATCATCATCTTTGACGGAATTACGAACACAAATTCCTGTTATTCTCACTTCATATGATCATCCATCTCTTCGTCAAGGAGCAAAGGAAAAGACAATGACTGTTGATATGAGTGGTATGTCTCTCTTAGAAGTTCTCTTACGACAAAGAATAGCCACTATTGGAATATCGATGATGTCACTTTTGTTAGAACAATCATGTGGTCTCAATTTATCATCTATCGATATATTATTACGTCCTGCTATAAATATAGCAGCTATTATGCCTTCATTAGTTAATGAATTAGTTGGAATGGGAAGAGATTTAAGAGGTGAACCAAATTTTTCATTAATCTATCGTCAAATGTTTAATTGTTCATTGCAACAAAGTATTTATTTTACTTTGACATTACATGATTTAGCTATGAAAACATTTGACCAAAATGTCGAAAAGATATTGCAATCTTTAAAATCTCCTTCTTTACAACATTATGTCTCAATTTATATGCAATATCTACGTCTGTTAGTTCGTGGTTTTGCTCAATGGCATCATTATTCAGATCGATATAAAAATCTTATTGCAGTAGATGAAACCCATAAACAAATATTAATATTTTCGATTGCTGACAGTCAAAAACAACGTTATGATGCTTTACAAGATGCATTAATACAACATCAATCGCATAAAGTAATACGCGAAAGTCTTTACTAATATTTATACTTCAAAATCAAAGCAATACCTGAATTCTTATTACATCTGTTCAAATCGGAAGACAAGACTTTAGGTTTTTCTTTCGTGAAAAACTTAGAAACGAACATATATATCAGAATCGGAATATTTTTCAGCAGTAAAGAATATTTTATAGTACGTTTTTTTATTTATTTATCATATATTATTAACCGATGTGTTTTATAGTATATTAGAAGTTTACTCTCTTTTCTGACCGTATTCTTACTAACTTTTAGTGATCATTTTTATCATAATAAATCTTCTAGAAAATATTAATAATATCTATCCTAGATACTTATAGATATTTCTTGGATGATGATATAGTCTTATTCATAATCTTTTTAATATACTGCATTTCTTGTAGATAAATCGAAATCTTATAGTTCCTTTTTCTCAAAGATGAGGTTTTATATTTGAAAAATGTTGTTACATTTATCTGTCCGAACCAATCACAATGCAGATCAAAGATTAATTTATAGAATTAGGTTTTTTTTTATGCTGAAAATTCAGCTACTATCGAAAGAAATCTCTAGAAAAAGATTAACTATCATGCATCTTATTTTTTCTTTATGACAGTCAATTGCAAAATTTTTGTATCATTCAATTCTTAGATATAAAAGTTCAATATGTTGAGTTTCTCATAATGAATTTTTGTAATTCTTTCCGATAATATTTCTCTAATAAGTTTCTACTACTACACAATAAATAACGAATTTATCTCAAATCAATGTCGAGACATTAGAC